GGGACCACTGCTTGAGCTCGGCTCATGGCTTTTCTACTTCCCTGGCTATTGCCGGGAAGCGCGAGGCGCCTCAAACTTCCAGAGTTTTCGGAGTCGGGATATCCCCGCTACTTCACCAGATGTGGAGCTTGTTCCTGGTGACGCGTCCCACAAGACGTTCCACGTGATAGGGGTCGTTACCGCTCTCATCGAGAAAGATGGCGGGCGGTGACTTGTGATGCTCTTCGAGCCCTTGAGGAATCACAGCTCCGCTAAGCGTCATACTGAAGTACCATATCGCTGTGCGGACGCTCTTGATAATTTGAAGCACATCGTGCGCCGGCTGCCTCGCCTTGGAAACTACCGCGTTCTGTCGGAGCGACTCCTAGCCGTGGAGCAAGCGAATGCATCGCTGCATGCGACAGCGGAGCGCTTGGCGCCATTAGAAATGGAGTTTGTTGCACTCCGTGCTCAGAACCAGTTGCTAGTTCAGCTTCTGGTGGCCGAGGGCCCGTGGGACTCGCTTCGGCGCCAACATTCCGCGTTAACTTGTGCCAGATCCCGGTACGGCTTGAGCAAGCCCACGTAAAACGCCGGGTGTATGTGCATCCGTTATTGAGAGGTTCAGCGTATACGCTAGGCTCCGCTTGGTCACAACTTTAAACGGTCCGATGAACCGTGGACGAAGCTTCGTCCTGAAGACAGCAGAGGCTGCATGGGTAGACAGGTTTTCGGAATTTAATAAGATCAGGTTCGCGACCTTAAAGCTTTCCACTTTGCCTCTTCCTTTTTCATCTGCATATTCATTTTGCAGGTCTTGGCATTCAGCCATCGCATTGCGATCGTGTCGTAGGACACTCAATCTGGCAGACAAAAAGTCATCGACTTCTTTACGGATGGATAGGGGGCTGACATCAGCTAGCCGTTCGGCTATTCCTCCTCCACCAAGCCCTGAGCCGTAGGATAGCGGCGTCAGCGGGACGCGAGGGTGAATCAGCCCCTTCACATAGAACGGCGTGTAGCCGATAGATGAATGCACTGCATTGTTCAGTGCAAGCTCTACTAGTGGCAACATGGCGCTCCAGCGCCTCGGCGTCTCAGCACACATGCTGCAAAGAACGTCTTCGATGACGCGATTCATCCTTTCGGTTTTACCATCGGTCTGCGGATAAACCGCTGTCGATATCTAACTTGGTGCCGAGCACCTTAAAGATAGTCGACCAAACTTTCCAGTGAAACGGGGGTCTCTATCAGAGACAATCGACTGTGGGAGTCCTTGTTGACGGAAAACACGATCCACGAACAGCGTTGCTGTACCGACTCCG